GGGAGGGGCCGGATGGGTTGGAGGGGCGGGAGGGGCGGGAGGTGGCAATGCGGTGGGATTCGGTGCAGTGGGTTCCATGGGTAGGGCGCACTGTGGCAGTGCGAAGGGGGGCTTTTGGGAGAGGACAGGGCGAGGTGGTGGCGGTGTTGTGGGCGGGTTGGGTGTGGGCATGAGGTCTGCAGCAGGGGGGGAGGAGGAGGCGGAGGAGAGAGGGAGACGAGAGTGCATGGTGGTGGTGCTAGTGGTGCTACTGGTGCTGGTGGTGGTGGTGGTGGTGGTGCTGCTGCTGCTGGTGGTGCTATGATTGGATCTGCCGGTGTTGTGGATGGGGTTTTGGGTGGGTCGGAGGGTTCTCTGCACAGGAAAACCCGCTCTGCTGGTGCCGCGCTTGGTTTCTCCGCTGCTGCTGCGTTGCTGAGTGCGCATGATTCCACTACTGGCAATGAGTACCACTCCGCGCTTCTCTCCCCAACTGCTGCTATTTCAGCTGCCGCTGCTGCGGATGCGGATGCGTTTCCGACTGCTGTAGCAGGAGTGACAGCAGGAGCAGAAGCAGGATCGCAGCAGCCTACTCTGCACACGGGCACGCAGGAGGGACAGGGACGGAGGAAGCAGGAGAACCAAGAAAATCAGGAGAACCAGAATGAGCAGGAGGAGGCGCAGGAGGAGAAGCAGGAAAACGAGAGGGCAGTGGCGCTGGTGCTGGTGGAACAGAGTGTGCTGACCGTGCGGGGGAGGAGGGTATCCGGAAATGAGGTTCGTGCCATGATTGCTCGCTCGCTTGACCTTCCTGGGGAAGCAGGGGGAGCAGGGGGGGCAGGGGGAGCAAAGGGGGCAAGAGGAGCAAGGGGGGCAGGGGCACCAGGAGGAGCAGGAGGAGGGGTAGCAGCAGCGGCAGCAGCGGCAGCAGCGGCAGCAGCGGCAGCAGCAGGAGCAGCAGCAGCAGGAGCAGCAGGAGCTGGAGCAAGCAGCAGGCAGGAGCTGCTGATGCCGAGGCTAGCTGTGCTTGTGCAGGCCCCGCCCTCTGACCCCTCCGCCCTTGCCGGCTTTGACGGTATGGTGAGAAAGCCTCTCAGGCGGAGTGCACTGCTGGCTGCTCTCCCTCCCCTCATTGCCCCGCGCAACGTCACCGGCTGCAGCAGCAGCAGCAGTAGCAGCAGCAGCAGTGAGTGGGGGGTGGAGGGGAGAGGAGGAGCGGGTGATATGGGGGAAACGGGAGAAGTAGGAGGAGCGGGAGGAGCGGGAGGGTCAGGAGGAGTGGTTGGTGTTAGGGAGGGTGGTACTGGGGGTGGAGAGCATAGGAGGGGTGCGGGTATGCTTCCGTCTGCTGCTGCTGCTGCATTGGATGATGCACGTGCAAGTGCAAGCACATATGATCTGCTTACTGAGGGCACTCCCCTTCTGTCTTCCTCTTCCTCCTCCCACCATTGTAATGGAATTCTCGCCACTGCACCGCTGGTAACACTTGCAGCAGAACCAGAACCAGCAGCAGCAGCAGCAGCAGCGGGGGCAACCAAGGGTGTGGGAGGGCAGTCAAACCCAAGTCAACGGAGTCAAAACGGGCAGAGAATCCCGAGAGGTCAACGGAGCGAGATAGGGGCGAGCGGGGAGAAGGGAGGAGCGAGGGGCGGTTGGGAGGGGTGCAGAGTGCTGGTGGTGGATGACAACATGGTGAACCGTAAGGTGGTGTCCAAGGTGCTGCAGCGCCTGGGGGTGAATGCTGTGGCTGTGGACAGCGGTGCTGCGGCCGTGGCTGCGCTTGCCCTTCCACACTCCTTCCACATGGTCTTTATGGACCTGCAGGTGCGTGCATGGGTGCTCATGTGCAGGTGCGCGTGCATGTGTGCATGTGAGCATGTGTTTAGGGGTGCAGAGTGCTGGTGGTAGAAAGTAACATGGTGAACCGTAAGGTGGTGTCCAAGGTGCTGCAGCGCCTGGGGGTGAATGCGGTAGCTTTGGACAGCGGTGCTGCGGCCGTGGCTGCGCTTGCGTTGCCACAAGCCTTCCAAATGGTCTTCATGGACCTACAGGTATGTGTGCATGCGTGCTCATGTGCATGTGAGGATTTGTTTGGGGTTGCAGGGTGCTAGTGGATTTGTTTGGCCGTTGCCACAAGCCTTCCAAATGGTCTTCATGGACCTACAGGTATGCGTGCGTGCGATGTGCCATGTTCTGTGTGCTCGAGAATTCTCAAAACTTTTGAGACATCTCAAGAGTAGACGACTTTTGAGACGTCTCAAAAGTGTGTGTGCATGCGTGCTCTGTGTGCTCGGGAATTCCCAAAAGCAGCTGTGGCTGCGCTTGCTCCACCCAACTCCAAAGCAACCAGCAGCAACATGTGAGGTGCCTAAGAAGCCCTACCAACACACACACACACACGCACTTCTCCCTCTCTCCCCTCTCTCTCCCTGCAGATGCCTGGAATGGACGGGCTGGCTGGACGCTTCTCGTTTTTTGTGAGTCAACTCAAAAGTCACACACCCACTCACTTCTCCCTTTCTCCCTGCAGATGCCTGGGATGGACGGGCTGGAAGCCACTCGAAGAGTGAGGCAGGCAGAGCTGCAGTACCAACGCAACCAGCAGCAGCATGAGCAGCAGCAGCAGCAGGAGGCGGTGTGCACGCACGTGCCCATCTTTGCCCTGACAGCCGACTCCATTGGGGAGGTGCGGCAGCGCTGCGAAGCAGCCGGCATGGATGGGTGTCTGTCGAAGCCCATCGAGGAGCGAGAGCTCGTCAAGGCCCTGGCTGCTGCCGCTGCTGCTGTGCCAGCGAGTTAATTGGATGACTTCTGAGTCGACTCAAAGGTCACCTCTGGCATGGATGGGTGTCTGTCGAAGCCCATCGAGGAGCGAGAGCTTGTCAAGGCACTTGCCGCTGCTGCTGCTGCTGCTGCTGCTGCTGCTGCTGTGCCAGCGAGTTGATTCCCAAATTAAACTTACTATTCACTCAAACTCCACCCAGAATTTGACTTGAGAATCCTCTGGGCATTGCTGTATCAGTGAGTTGGGTGGGGGAGAGCGAGAGGGAGATGGAGTGGGTGATTCAAGAACTGACACGAGTGGATGGAAGCAGGCCTGGAAGCTGGCATGGGTGAGTGTGTTACTTGACATTCAGGTACGGTATGGGGTGGATGGATCATGGGAGAGGTAGAGAAAGTGAGGGGCCGGTTTATGCGCTTTTTTCTGCTCTGCCTGTGGCCTGGAGGTTACAGGGAGGGGGATACAGAGGGGAAAAAGGGCACAGGGAGAGAGCAGGTGAGGGTGGGAAGGGTGGGGGTGGAGGAAGGAAGCAGGCAAGGGCGGGAAGGGAGTGGGGCAGGCTGGTCTGGGTGTGCTGTGCTGAACTGCCTTGGGATGGATGGTTTTGGGATGCATGATGGTCTGACAGGACACACATGGTTTTGGAGGCACTGGCACTGCACAGTCCGTTGGCGTAAGTTATACCGTACCGTACATGCAGCCCATGCACTAATGGTTTTCTTGGTTTGAGTGTGTTTGTTGCACACTACCGTACTGGGCTGCTGGAAACCTTGCTAACAATGTTTGACGTCTGAGTGTGGTTTGTACATTATGTTGGATTTATGATACTATGCCCTTGTAAAGATGCTCCTTGATTTGATATTTGTTTTGATGTGGTACAAGCCCTACTTTCAAAGTGTAAGGTTTCCGAATGATATAACGAGTTCCCCCCAAAACACTAGTCAAACTGCCGAGCCGAGCAACTCCCCCTCCCCACCTCCGGCCCGGATCCTCGAACCTCCGTCGAGCCTGGCCCGAACCACCTCACCAACCGCCATTCCCCGCCACCAGCCACACCAAGCACAACCAACCAACCTGAGAGTCTCCCACCCAAGTCGAGCCAAGAGGAGACAGGACGAGACGAGACAACAGCAGCGTGCCTCTTTCGCCCTGCTGCAAGTTCATTCAAATGAACAACAATCAGCCCGCCGTCCCGTCGATTGTAGCAGGCGTGCATTCACGGATGGTAGTTGGCGTTGTTCTTGCTCTTCGCAGCGGGAATGGCACGTCGGCCGCTTTCTCTACGCGATCGTTGGTCAGGGCGCGCAATGGATTAAAGAGCGAGTGAAACGAAGTCGAGTACAGAGCGTTGCTCCGCACGCGATGCCCCACGCGTCAACGACGCGATCGGCCGCCGATCACTCCATGAATGCGTTAGTCTCATCAGTCATCCACAGACTAATCGGCGAAGCACCTCTTTTCAGGCACTAATAGGGTTTCGTGGAGCTATTTTCTGCAGGAATTGTGTGCCCGAGTTGTTTAGCCAAGTGCGGACTTTGATGCGAGTGGACATCTCGGGAATGCATTTCCGTTCAGCGTGAGCCGATCTGGACAGAGCGAGGGAGGGTACAGTGGAGCCGTACTTGTTCCCCGGTCTCAAACTTCGATCTCACGCCCCGATCTCACACTGCTTATCATTTTGGAATCGAAGCACCACCAACCCTTCCATCACTATCAAGATCGTTAAAACTACCGCTACCACTCGTTTCAAAATCCTCGCCCGGCTCCGCTGCGACAGCAGCTATCGCTTCTCGCAGTCTCGTTCCACTCCGCTGTTCCTTCTCCGCGGCACATCCCCCCTCCGCGCGACCCAATCATGCGCTCGTCTACCCGCGATCGCCGCGCAACCTCCGGCTTCGGAGCCTTCGACTGGGAGCTCCCTTCCGCTCCCCCCGCTTCCGCCTCTTCCGCCGCGCATGCCTCCTCCCGCTTCCCTTCCGCCGCCGGCGGCGCCGCCACCCGCCGCTCCAATGCCTTCTATTTCAGCTCCTCCGCTGCGAAATCCTCTTCCGCAAGCGCCGGCGGCGGCGGCGGAGGCGCTGCTGGCGCCGGATTTGGGGGAGGCGGAGGGTGGTTCTTTTCCGGTCTACTTAGCGGCATCGGCGGCGGCGGCAGCGGTGGGCGGTCCAGAACATTCTCTCTCTCTGGTAGATCTCCCTTTGGGGGAATGGGAGGGTATTCTTCTCTCGGCGGCCCGCAGTCCGCGTTTGGCGGCGGGCCTCACTATGCATCCTCGTCCGCGTCGTCCGTTTACTCTCTCCTGCTGCCGTGCACTTGCCTGTTCCTGGGGTTCCTTCTCGCATCCTTCATTTTCATAAGCTCTAGATCGCTGATTGCCGCGCCGTCGTGGGTTGCGATTCACGGACAGAAGCAGCAGCAGCAGGGTCAACTGCAGGAGCACCAGCAACAGATACCGCTGCAACAGTATCAACAGAAGCAGACGCAGCAACAGCAGGAGCAGGAGCAGGACGTGCAACAGGATGATTTTTCTCCGACTGGTAGCAGCAGTGCTGGTGCTGATGGTGATGGAAACGGGGATGAGGCGGTAGGAGAGGGAGAAGGCGCACAACAGAACGCCGAGAAAAGCAGACGGTTTGGGCCTCGAGATTCGGCAGGAAAAGCGGATACAAGTGCAGTGGAAACCGCAGGGGAAGGGGAGGAGGTAGACGGGGAGAAGACAGGGCGCGGGAGTGTTGCGGGGCAGGAGGGAGAGAAAGAAGAGGAGGGAGAGGGAGGGGTAGAGAGCCAGGCGGAAGGGAAGTTGAGGGAGGCAGAAGCGATGCTGGAAGGTGTAGGGAAGGAGAGGGAGAGGCGGGAGGAGAAGCACTTGGATGAGATCATGAAGAGGCTGAATGGTGAGGGGGAGGATGAAAGGGCGGGTGGGGGGGACGGGAAGAAGAAGAAGAAGAAGAAGAAGAAGAAGGGGGCAGACGAGGAGGAGGAGGAGGTAGTTTCTGGGAAGAAAAGAGGGGAAGGTGGCAGTAATAAAAGGCAGGAGGAAGAGGAGGAAGAGAGCAGCGAAGGCGAAGGCAAGGAGGAGGAGATTATTGATGAGCTTTTGAAAGGGATAGGTGGAGGAGATGAGGAGGAGAAGGAGAAGGGAAGAGATGTTGGGAAAGGAGGCAAGGGGAGTGAGGTGGAGGAAGAGGAGGGTCACGGTGGTGCTGAAAAGGGTAGCAGCAGTGGTAGCAGCAGTGGTAGCAGCAGTGGTATCAGCCAGAGCGCTGAGCATGGTGAAAAAGACCCAATCAGGGGAATGCATGAAGGGGATGACTCGATAATCAAGGCTGCTGAGACGGAGAAGGGTGACGGGGAGGGGGAGCATGCAGAGGAGGCGAGAGAAGGTGGGGGCCTAGGGGAGAAGCGAGAGGATACGAGTGGAGTGGCAGGACTGAGCAAAGGGAGTGTAGCTGGGGAGTCGTCTGGAAGCCCACGTGGCAGTAGTGAGAGCGGTAGCGTGGAGGGAGGTTCAGCATCCAAAGAAGCGTCAGGAGATGCGGACAGCGATGGGGGAGCTGGTGGCGTTAGTAGTGAAGGCTCAGGTGGATTTTCAGGTGTTTCTTCAGCGGATGTTCCAGGAGAGGCAGCGGCAGCAGTTGCAGGATCGAAGGACCATGCGAGCAGTGAGGAGGAAGGAGAAGGTGCTGGTATGCGTGGGGAAGGGACAGGTGGTGAGGAGAGGAAGGGAGGCGAGGAGGATGGGGGTAATGAAGAGAAGGAGGAGAAGGAAGGAGCAGATAGCAGCAATAGAGAGGAGGAGGGTGAACGCAGGGAAGAGGATTCTGCAGGAAAAAGCAAAGCTGGAGAGGAGAGCAACGAAGGTGGCTCTGTTCCTGCTGCTGCAGAAGCAGCTGATTCCACTGGCAGCCCTGGGGTTTCCGCTGCTGGCAACGCTGCTGCTGCTTCTCTCCCTGCCCCAGCCACGGCAGCTGCTCCCAGTTCAGCGAGCGAACAGGGAGGGGTGCCAGGCGGTTCAGATGGGTCTGAGGAAGGCAGGCAGCAGCAGCAGGGGCAAGCACAGGAAGGCTGGCAGAGTGAGAATCAAGGTGTGGATCAGCAGCAAGGTACAGCGGGGGACGTTAGCACCGAAGGAACTGCCAAGGAAAGTGCTGCAGAGGGTACTGGTGTTGCTGCTGCTGCCACTGCGCAAGGCTCGCAACCTTCGGTAGAATCTCATGCTCTTCCTCCTACTCTCACCTCTGCGGCCAACATGTCAGAAGCTTCTGAAGGTGGCGTTACTGCTGCTCCTGCTGGTACTGGTGCCACTGATTCTGCCTCCAATCCGGCTGATTCCTCAAATTTATCAGGGGATTCGAGTGATGGAGGTGGCTCTGAAACGGTCGCTCCAGACTCGTCGTCCTCTCAAGGCAGCAGCAAGAAGGGCCTCTTTTCGTGGCTGGGGTTTTGACTGATGCATGACTGGAATCTGGATCTGTCAGTTTTTTTCGGCCGGTTCTGTGGGCAGGTTTCCCATTCCCTTGTTGCACTGTTTGATGACCAGCTTGTACAACAGAAGCCAAGGAAGCAGATTCTGGTTGTATCTGAATTGGATCCAATGGCTTTCTTGGTACCGGTACAATGCTTTATTACCGTATATGGTGCAGAATATGTAACTTCAGCGGAGACAAGGTCTGAGGAGATTCACTAGCTTCTCTCTGCAGCCTTCGGTACTGTTTTTTTGCTAGTTGGCAATTCTATTTGCAGAACCTAGTTCACAATGCTGTCCTCATTATTAAAAATTCGAATTCACTTCTTGTTGCGGGGTCTGGTTGAGTGCGATTCAGTGCTTCGAAGTGGGCTCTTCCATTTCACCGCTCTGAACCGCTACGCTACTCAACGATCTCAGGAATCGCCGAACACATCCTTCCTAAAGCAAATCGCAGGGTTTCGGGTTATGGTGTGTATGAAGCATTGCTTCACTACAACTCCCTCAGAACCTCGCATTAGTCAATCACGAACCCCGCAGAAACCCTAGACCCAGCACACTAATACGGCCTCGGGCGAGATCGTAGCCTCAGCCAGCCTCCACCCGTTTCGGCTAAAAAATCCAGCGCGCTCGTCGCGATGATTCGGCGGAACGCGCGGTTGCGGCGCGAGTATCTGTACCGCAAGAACCTGGAGGGCAAGGAGCGCGTGCAGTACGAGAAGAAGCTCAAGATCCGCCAGGCGCTGCAAGGTGCGCGCCCACGACGCGCTCTGCGCGCTCTGTGCTGTGCGCTCTATGTGCCGTGCGCGCTATGCGCTATGCGCTACGCTCGATGCGCTGCGCCAGTGCATGCGCGCGTAGCATTGATCTTTCCGCCCGTCGTTTCGCCCTTCGTTCCGTCGTCTCTTTGCATTTCTCCACTCACTTATCAACATTAGGGCGCTCGTATCCCTTCCCTATTCTCCGAAATTTCCTTCCTGACTTCCGTATTCCGCCGTCTTGTTCTTCTGTTTCTTCTCCTCCGTCTCTCGCGCGCACCTCCGCGTGCGATTCGACGATTCTTCATCCCGCCTCAATACTCGTGCGTCTCTTTTCGTGCTCCTACTCTCGCATCCCTCCCTTGCCCCCCTCGTATCTCTCACCTTTCTCGCCACCAGAGGGCCGGCCGGTTCCCACGGAGCTGCGCAACGAGGCGTTGGCGCTGCGGGACGAGATCGACCTAGAAGACGACTACACCGCGGGTAATGCGCGGAGCGGGGGGAACGGGGTTGCGGGGACGGGGGACGGGGACAGGGGGCGAGGGGTGGGGTAACGGGGGACGGGGGGAGGGGGGAGGGGAGACGGGGGGGGGGGGGGCGGGGGACGGGGGACCGGGGACGGGGGACGGGGAGCGGTGGGAAAATTGGGCGGGAGGTAGTGGGAAGAGTTTTGGGGCGTTGGTGAGTTCGAGGATTTTGGGGGTTTTGGCGGGGTTGGAGGTTTTGAGGCGCTCTGAAGCGCCCCGAAAGGCGTTTCGCTGAGAAGCGCGCGACCGAATCCGCGGATGACTAGAACACGTATGGTCCCCGCGCCCCTGTGGTTGTTCCGCAACGAGTTTCGCCCGCGTCTCTCACTCCCCGGCTCCCCGCCTCCCCTTCCCTGCCATTGTGGTCCCCCCAGAGCCGCGGTCGCACGTAGACGACGAGTATGCGAGGGCAGGCGAGGAGGACCCGCGCGTGTGACTGCCTCACAATTTCCCTCTCCTCCCCGCCCCTTCCCCCGGCGCGCTCCCCCCCCCTTCGTGCCCCTCTGCTCCCCAGAGCCACGGTCGCACGTGGATGACGAGTATGCGCGGGCGGGCGAGGAGGACCCGCGCGTGCTGCTGACCACGTCGCGCGACCCCAGCAGCCGCCTCACGCAGTTCGTGAAGGAGCTCAAGATCGTCTTCCCCAACGCGCAGAGGATCAACCGCGGAGGCCAGGTGGGGCTGGGCGGAAGAATGGGTGGGAATGGGGGAGTATAGGTGGGGCTGGGGGAAGGCTAGGTGGGTTGGGTCGTTCCGCTGTGAGTTGAGAGGCAGTTGGCAAAGCCCCCCCACCATCCCTCCCTCCCGCCCTCCCCCCCTTTCCCTCTTCCCCCTCCCCCCACCTCAGGTGATCAATGACATAGTGGCATCGGCGCGCAGCAGTGCGTTCACGGACATCATAGTGGTGCACGAGCACAGGGGGCAGCCCGACGGGCTAGTCGTCTGCCACCTGCCATACGGCCCCACCGCCTACTTCGGCCTCCTCAACGTGGTGCGTGCCTCTGCATTCCCTCATGCAAGGGGGTCTCGTGGGGGCAGGCAGGGGGGGCAGGCAGTCTTGTGGGCTTGCAGTCTTGTGGGCTTGCAGTCTTGTGGGCTTGCAGTCTTGTGGGCTTGCAGTCTTGTGGGCTTGCAGTCTTGTGGGCTTGCAGTCTTGTGGGCTTGCAGTCTTGTGGGCTTGCAGTCTTGTGGGCTTGCAGTCTTGTGGGCTTGCAGTCTTGTGGGCTTGCAGTCTTGTGGGCTTGCAGTCTTGTGGGCTTGCAGTCTTGTGGGCTTGCAGTCTTGTGGGCTTGCAGTCTTGTGGGCTTGCAGTCTTGTGGGCTTGCAGTCTTGTGGGCTTGCAGTCTTGTGGGCTTGCAGTCTTGTGGGCTTGCAGTCTTGTGGGCTTGCAGTCTTGTGGGCTTGCAGTCTTGTGGGCTTGCAGTCTTGTGGGCTTGCAGTCTTGTGGGCTTGCAGTCTTGTGGGCTTGCAGTCTTGTGGGCTTGCAGTCTTGTGGGCTTGCAGCCTTGTGGGCTTGCAGCCTTGTGGGCTTGCAGCCTTGTGGGCTTGCAGCCTTGTGGGCTTGCAGCCTTGTGGGCTTGCAGCCTTGTGGGCTTGCAGCCTTGTGGGCTTGCAGCCTTGTGGGCTTGCAGCCTTGTGGGCTTGCAGCCTTGTGGGCTTGCAGCCTTGTGGGCTTGCAGCCTTGTGGGCTTGCAGCCTTGTGGGCTTGCAGCCTTGTGGGCTTGCAGCCTTGTGGGCTTGCAGCCTTGTGGGCTTGCAGCCTTGTGGGCTTGCAGCCTTGTGGGCTTGCAGCCTTGTGGGCTTGCAGCCTTGTGGGCTTGCAGCCTTGTGGGCTTGCAGCCTTGTGGGCTTGCAGCCTTGTGGGCTTGCAGCCTTGTGGGCTTGCAGCCTTGTGGGCTTGCAGCCTTGTGGGCTTGCAGCCTTGTGGGCTTGCAGCCTTGTGGGCTTGCAGCCTTGTGGGCTTGCAGCCTTGTGGGCTTGCAGCCTTGTGGGCTTGCAGCCTTGTGGGCTTGCAGCCTTGTGGGCTTGCAGCCTTGTGGGCTTGCAGCCTTGTGGGCTTGCAGCCTTGTGGGCTTGCAGCCTTGTGGGCTTGCAGCCTTGTGGGCTTGCAGCCTTGTGGGCTTGCAGCCTTGTGGGCTTGCAGCCTTGTGGGCTTGCAGCCTTGTGGGCTTGCAGCCTTGTGGGCTTGCAGCCTTGTGGGCTTGCAGCCTTGTGGGCTTGCAGCCTTGTGGGCTTGCAGCCTTGTGGGCTTGCAGCCTTGTGGGCTTGCAGCCTTGTGGGCTTGCAGCCTTGTGGGCTTGCAGCCTTGTGGGCTTGCAGCCTTGTGGGCTTGCAGCCTTGTGGGCTTGCAGCCTTGTGGGCTTGCAGCCTTGTGGGCTTGCAGCCTTGTGGGCTTGCAGCCTTGTGGGCTTGCAGCCTTGTGGGCTTGCAGCCTTGTGGGCTTGCAGCCTTGTGGGCTTGCAGCCTTGTGGGCTTGCAGCCTTGTGGGCTTGCAGCCTTGTGGGCTTGCAGCCTTGTGGGCTTGCAGCCTTGTGGGCTTGCAGCCTTGTGGGCTTGCAGCCTTGTGGGCTTGCAGCCTTGTGGGCTTGCAGCCTTGTGGGCTTGCAGCCTTGTGGGCTTGCAGCCTTGTGGGCTTGCAGCCTTGTGGGCTTGCAGCCTTGTGGGCTTGCAGCCTTGTGGGCTTGCAGCCTTGTGGGCTTGCAGTCTTGTGGGCTTGCAGTCTTGTGGGCTTGTTGTCTGCCACCCACCTGCCCTACGGCCCCACTGCCTACTTCGGCCTGCTCAACGTGGTGCATGTTTTCTCTCATTCACGGGTTCTCATTTTTCTGTTCCCTTTTTCTAACCCCCCCCCCCCCCCCCCCCCCCCCCCCCTCTTTTTTTTTTAATTGGATATATCCCTTTTCCTTTCTCAGGCTTTTAAAAGCTGCCTGTCCTGTGGGTGGCCTGGCCCCAAACCCCCTCTCCCCAACACCCCTCCTCTCCCCCTCCCCCCCCTTTCCTTCCTCCACTTCCTCTGTACCATCGTTTGCCCTCTGCGCTCCGCTCCTCACTCCTCTACTCCCACATCTCCCACATCTCCCACATCTCCCACATCTCCCACATCCCCCACATCGCCCCATTCTGTGCTTTCACCCTCCTGGGTGCTGCTGTCTGCCCTCTGCCCTGTGTGTGCCTGCCTTTTGAGGCGCCTCAAAAGTCGTCGCCTGGGTGCGCTCTGCCCTGTGCCTGCCTGTGCCGCTTCTGCATTGCGTGTGGTGCTGGTGTGTGTGTGGTGCTGGTGTGCGTGTGGTGCTGGTGTGTGTGTGGTGCTGGTGTGTGTGTGGTGCTGGTGTGTGTGTGGTGCTGGTGTGTGTGTGGTGCTGGTGTGTGTGTGGGGCTGGTGTGTGTGTGGGGCTGGTGTGTGTGTGATGCGTGCGGCTGTGCGTGGTGCTGTGCGTGCTGCTGTACGTGCTGCTGCTATCTGTGTGCAACAGGTGACGCGGCATGACATTCAGGACAGAGCAGCCATTGGCACCATGTCAGAGGCATACCCACACCTCATTCTCGACAATTTTTCCACCAAGGTACTCTTTTAGGTACTATTTAGGTACTCTCCTAGGTACTCTTCTAGGTTCTCTTCTAGGTTCTCTTTTAGGTACTCTCCTAGGTACTCTCCTAGGTACTCTCCTAAGTACTCTCCTAGGTACTCTCCTAGGTACTCTTCTAGGTACTCTCCTAGGTACTCTCCTATGTACTCTCCAAGGTACTCTCCTAGGTACTCTCCTAGATACTCTCCTAGGTTCTCTCCTAGGTACTCTCCTAAGTACTCTCCTAGGTACTCTCCTAGGTACTCTCCTAGGTACTCTCCTAGGTACTCTCCTAGGTACTCTCCTATGTACTCTCCTAGGTACTCTCCTAGGTACTCTCCTAGGTACTCTCCTAGGTACTCTCCTAAGTACTCTCCTAGGTACTCTCCTAGGTACTCTTCTAGGTACTCTCCTAGGTACTCTCCTATGTACTCTCCTATGTACTCTTCTAGGTACTCTCCTAGGTACTCTCCTAGGTACTCTCCTAGGTACTCTCCTAGGTTCTCTCCTAGGTACTCTCCTAAGTACTCTCCTAGGTACTCTCCTAGGTACTCTCCTAGGTACTCTCCTAGGTACTCTCCTAGGTACTCTCCTATGTACTCTCCTAGGTACTCTCCTAGGTACTCTCCTAGGTACTCTCCTAGGTACTCTCCTAAGTACTCTCCTAGGTACTCTCCTAGGTACTCTTCTAGGTACTCTCCTAGGTACTCTCCTATGTACTCTCCTATGTACTCTTCTAGGTACTCTCCTAGGTACTCTCCTAGGTACTCTCCTAGGTACTCTCCTAGGTACTCTCCTAGGTACTCTTTTAGGTACTCTCCTAGGTACTCTCCTAGGTACTCTCCTAGGTACTCTCCTATGTACTCTCCTAGGTACTCTCCTAGGTACTCTCCTAGGTACTCTCCTAGGTACTCTCCTATGTACTCTCCTAGGTACTCTCCTAGGTACTCTCCTAGGTACTCTCCTAGGTACTCTCCTAAGTACTCTCCTAGGTACTCTCCTAGGTACTCTTCTAGGTACTCTCCTAGGTACTCTCCTATGTACTCTCCTATGTACTCTTCTAGGTACTCTCCTAAGTACTCTCCTAGGTACTCTCCTAGGTACTCTCCTATGTACTCTTCTAGGTACTCTCCTAGGTACTCTCCTATGTACTCTCCTATGTACTCTTCTAGGTACTCTCCTAGGTACTCTTCTAGGTACTCTTTTAGGTACTCTCCTAGGTACTCTCCTAAGTACTCTCCTAGGTACTCTCCTAGGTACTCTTCTAGGTACTCTCCTAGGTACTCTCCTATGTACTCTCCTATGTACTCTTCTAGGCACTCTCCTAGGTACTCTTCTAGGTTCTCTTCTAGGTACTCTTTTAGGTACTCTCCTAGGTACTCTCCTAGGTACTCTCCTATGTACTCTCCTAGGTACTCTCCTTTGTACTCTCCTAGGTACTCTCCTAGATACTCTCCTAGGTACTCTCCTAGGTACTCTCCTAGGTACTCTCCTATGTACTCTCCTATGTACTCTTCTAGGTACTCTCCTAGGTACTCTCCTATGTACTCTCCTAGGTACTCTCCTATGTACTCTCCTAGGTACTTTTCTAGGTACTCTCCTAGGCGCCTCTAACATAGACACCAAGGTTCACAGCACACACCTCTCTCCTTCTCCCCGTTCCTCCTCTCCCCACTCCCCCCCCCCCCCCCCCCCCCCCCCCCGCCCCTTTCTCCCACCCCTTTCAACACCCCGCCCTTTTTTACTTCCCTTCACCCCATCCCATCCGCCACCTTCCCTTCTCCCCTTTTGTCACAACCACCACCACCACCACCACCACCACCACCACCACCACCACCACCACCACCACCACCACCACCACCACCACCACCACCACCACCACCACCACCACCACCACCACCACCACCACCACCACCACCACCACCACCACCACCACCACCACCACCACCACCACCACCACCACCACCACCACCACCACCACCACCATGCTCGCACTACCCCTTGTGCCCCTCACTTCTCCCACTCTTCACCTCGCATCTTTCCGTCCCGTCCCTTCCACCCGGTTCTGCCGCCCTCCTCTCCTCACACTTCCACGCCTTCCCACAGATTGCATGCATCATCCTCATCTCATCCTCATCCCCAATCGTCTTCTGTGTAGTCTTTAGTCTTCCAAGATTTAATTCTGATTTTGTTTTTTTTGTCCCCCCTCCTCCTCTCACCCTCCCTTCGTTCCTGGCCTGTCGTTCCTCGCCTTCCCTCCCCCCGTTCCCCTTGCGCCCCCGATCCGCAATCCCTGTTTGTCACTCCTGGTTTCCCGCACCCTGGTCAATCCCCTTGCTATTCCCTACCATCCCCTGCCATCCCCTGCCATCCCCTGCCATCCCCTGCCATCCCCTGCTATCCCCTGCTATCCCCTGCCCCCTGTCCCCGGCCCCTCTGCACCCTGCCCTCCTCATGCATGGCATGGTGACTGCAGCTGGGGCAGCGCACGAGCAACATTCTCAAGTATCTCTTCTCCGTGCCCAAGCCCGACTTCCCTTGCTCCGCTCCACATCCTCCGCATCCTGTTCCCCCAAACCCTGCCCCACCTCACCCCACACCTGCTTTGCCCAACCCCCCCAGCTGGGGCAGCGCACGAGCAACATTCTCAAGTATCTCTTCCCCGTGCCCAAGCCTGACTCCAAGCGTGTCATCACGTTCGCCAACCAGTCTGACTATATCTCCTTCCGGTCAGTACCTGCTGCTGCTCTTCGCTGAGCTTGCTGCTGCTCTTCGCTGCGCCTGCTGCTGCTCCTCCTGTTCCTCTGCTCCTGCTGCTTCTCTGAGCCTGTTGCTAGCGCTGCGGCTGGTTACTGTCCGCCAGAGCTGTTGGTTACTGTCTGTTACACCAGCTGGTTTTTATCTTATTCCTTGACTGTTGAAAACAGTGCATCCTAAACCCTGCTCCTCTGCCCATCATGCGCGGCTGTTCCTCTGTGCACAGACACCACGTATACGAGAAACCTCAAGGACCCAAGTCTCTACAGCTCAAGGAAGTCGGGCCTAGATTTGAGCTCCGGTTGTACCAGGTATGCGGCACCTCTCCCTTGTTGTTTGGCCTGCTGCAGTTTCCTTTTACGGTTGCCCTTGACGCTGTACTTCTTAGTGTTTGTTGGGGATTGTTGCTTATGCTGTTATTGCTGTTTATGTTCTCTGGGCAGATTAAGTTGGGAACAATGGACCAGCCAGAGGCTGAGAACGAGTGGGTGATTCGGCCATATATGAATACAGCCAAGAAACGTACCCTTTTGTGATATTTTGGAGCGCATAGTACCGGTATAGTTTTTTGTTTTCATTCATTTTCTCATCTTTTCTTCTTTAAGCAAGCCGTTGAATGGTCTCCTTCACTAGTCATCTTAGGCTATCCCTTCTGTAGTGGAGTTACGAGGTGGTCGTTCATTGTGAATGAATGATTGTGCACCCACTCCTCGAAAGCGTCATACAATCACTTCAAGACACCTGGCTTTCGTGATATCCTCATAGTGCCAGCTCGAGGCGCCGCGCTAGACACACATAAGGGCGTGGCACATGTTTAAGGTATGAAAGTAACCAGCGGGTGAAGCGGGTTACGTCGTTGGCCGAGTTTGTGGTGACCTGAATGGCCAGACACGTTTGCATATTTCCCAGATCCCACTGAAAAGTATATTTCCACCCTAATCCGATTCATCCAGGTACACCCTAATCCGCCATATTTTCAAAGCCACCACCATGTTTTTAAAGAGACCCTAAATACTTTTCTGGCTAGTGAGACGGACACCCAAAGATTACAGGGATATCAGAAAGTACGGAAGACAATCCAGTGTGACGAAACTTGCACTTAGGGATGCGATTGAACGGGCGGTTTGGCAATGACGAAGTTGCTGCTTGCAGTTAACTCGCGTGGGGTATGCGCGTCTATCCACCCGCTGATATTCAGTCTGCTTGAACTACTCCCATGACCTAGCCGGACCTAGGGTAGTTCTCCTAGGGTTTGAAGATAACGGCGTTGAAAATAAGGCGGAACAGGTACAAAAAATTTCGACTGGCCTCGTCAGGTGCTGTCACAGCCGTTTGAGCGACCGTTTACAGGACGTTAACCGCGAATCTCGGCGACCTTCTATTTCGGGCAAAACTCCGGCCCAAGCGTGTTTGCCGAAAACATGTCCCACGCCCTAACCCCCCGCAAGCCATGCTGTCTACAGTTCTCCTCCCCTCGTTCCCAAAAATCTCTACCAGCTAATATTTGAAACCCTTCAAACCGCTATTTAGGACAATGAACCTATTTTGAACGTTCATAACCGATCATATGCGCCCCACTTCCCCCCAAACTCTTCCATTCCTCCTCGTTAGCTCTTTCACCTTTCAGTGTTATTGGCCGTCTGTCTCATCAATAGCAGACTCAGTTCCAGAACAGACCTGCGTGGTGCCATAGCTTGGCCTGTCGCAGAGTTCGCCGCTCGTCGGTCAATCAGGCTCTTCGCGAGGACGTCGCCGGGCTATCGTTGCCGTCCAATTGTTGCGGTCAGGCTTTAGATAATCTCCAAGCTCCTCTTTCCCCACCGTACCGCGCGGGATGGAGATATCATTACAAACCACCGCGCGCGCTGCCTTTCGAACAGCGCCGCAGCGGTCTACGAGGAATGCGACGCGCGCCACCACGCGAACTACCGCTCACGCTTCCCTCTCCTCGCTCTCATGCGCAGCGCTCGCTGGTGCGGGGCGCCGGAGCCTTTTCTCCGTCTCTCCGCTTCCTCACGCGCGGATTTCTTCCCGCAGCGTCCGCCGTGGAGTTATCTCCGCAGTCGCCGCGGGAGTGGCGGGAGCCGCCGGTTCAAACAAGACCCGCCTGGCGCGAGCGGCGGAACTAGCGCAATGGCTCGCCTCCGCGGGCTTCCCAGCGCAACCTGTTGCGCCCGCGGACGCCGGAGCGGCTGGGATCGGGCTCGCCGCCAAGGAGCCAATCAAAAAGGGCCAAGTGGCGCTGCGCGTGCCGGAGAATTTTGTCGTGACGTCAGTCGACGTGGCGGAGCACCCGGTGGTGGCGAAGGCGGCGGAGGGACGTGGCGATTTGGTCGGGCTGACTCTCTGGCTGATGTGGGAGCGCTCTCAGGGCGACGCGTCGCTCTGGGCTCCATACATTCGCACGTTCCCGGAAGCCACGTCGTCGCCGCTGCTTTGGCCGGCAGACGACCGGCAGCGGCTGCTTGCCGGCACGACGATCGCCAGCGAAATTGACGGTCGGGTGGCGGAAATGGAAGCAGTTTACAGCGTTCTTAAAGCCACGCATTTTGACGCGGACCCTAATACCTTCCCGACCTCCCCCGCCTCCGCTCCTTTTTCTCTCGAGTCGTTTAAGAAAGCCTTTGCAGTGGTGCTGTCGCGTGCCGTGTACCTCCCCTCGGTCGACTTATTCGCTTTTATTCCCTTGGCGGATCTAGTAAACCACTCGCCCGCACCGTCTAATCCGGCTATTCCTCCGCCCTCCTCTTTCGATTTTGACCCGGCGTCGCAATGCGTGGTTCTTCGTTCCCACATCGATCTCTCCTCCGGCGATCCTCTCCTCGCATCGTACGGCCCGGATCGCACCCCGGCGGATCTCCTCCTCACGTACGGCTTCGTGCCGCGCTCCTCGCCGTCCGATTTCATCCTGCTGCCGGTCTCGCTCGTTCCCGGTGACCCGCTGCTGGAATTTAAGCGGCAGATTCTAAACGATCAGGGTCTGTCTGTATCGGAGATGTTTCCGCTTTTCACGGACCGCTTTCCACGCCAGCTGATCTCGTTCATGCGGCTCGCGCGACTCCAGGACGCGGCGCAACTCGCGGGAATCAGCTTCGAGCGCGATGTGATGCTATCAGAGGCGAACGAGTACGAGGCGCTGCAGATCCTGCTGCGTGACTGTAACGATCGGCTCGCGGAATTCCCGCAGACTCTCGAGGACGATCTCAGGTTGCTCAATCTCGGCTCCGCCGTTTCCGCCGGCGCCGCCGCCGCTGCCGCGGAGGCGAATGCTAACAGCAGCAGCGGGGGCGGGGTTTTCGGAGGGCTTTTCGGGGGTTTTGGCGGGGGGCAGCAGCAGAAGCAAGATGTGAGTGAAGCCGAACGGGCATCAGCTGCTGCTGCAGCAGAGGCAGCCGCAGCAGAGGAGCGAGAAATGCTTGCAGCAGCGCTAAGGGCGCGGGAGAAGCAAATTTTGGCCAATACCGTTACCGCGTTACGCACTAGGCTGGCGCCGATCCGGGGGCTGCCGAGCAAGCAGGGCATGGATGACCCGAACGAGGAGATTAAAGCCATGTTTGGAATTATGGAGGCGGGGTTCTCTGCGCCGACCAAGCTGTTTTCAGACCTGATGAAACGGAAGAACTCGCCTTAGGTTGTGTTGCGTGAGTTTCGTGAAGTCGGATTTGCAGGTGCGGTGGGGAGGTCCGGAGTCAGGACGTTTATTTGTTGCCGGGGGGCTATGGCAGTTTGTTAGCATGTGATAGCATTCTCCTGCCGTAGAGTTCTTTTACCAGCATGGGGGTTAGCATGTGCACTTGATTCCTGGAATGGTTGTTTTCCACCCTTCTTGTAGAAGCTGCCTCTGGTGCTACATTCTTGCTGCTGAATCTTGATTCTTGATCCTTATATTACTACATGATAGCTTGCCAACTGTGCTGCAGCTACCTTCTACAGGAAGCTCAGTAACGGTTGAAAGGAAACAGAGGCTTTGTTAGCATCAGTCCTATTTACAAGTATTTAGACACTGCAAGCAACATACTGCTTAAAAACTGATGCTAAGGAACCCTATGCTACCGTATATATATTGGGCTACGTAACCAGTTATCGTTAACCCAGTTTCACAAACCCAGACAAGCAACCTACCCCGCTGTATGAACTGATTCCAAATCAATTACGAGCGCCTCGTCTCGTCTCTGTTTTGGCATAACCTCCGCCGAGACACCAGGACGACCACTCGCACAATCGGAGAATCAGCTTCTTGGTAGCCAAACACATATAATCCGAGACAACGCTTTCGCTTTGCGCTTCAAGAGACAACGTCACGCGTCTGTTCGGTTCGGCGCCCCCGCTGCCCGCTCCCCTACACCTCCATGCATCTTCTAGTATCTTCCCCTCTCTCCATGCACGCACCCCTCCCCTCCCCTCCCCTCCCCTCCCCTCCCTACCGAATGCTCTCATCATCCTCATGCCCCACGGCGTACAGAATCCCCTTGCGCTTGGAGAGACCACTTAACACCTCGGCGGTGGCGCTTCTCCTGTCCTCTCCATGCGCCCCTCTTCACCGGATTATTTCATCATCCTCATGCCCCACAGCATACAGAATCCCCTTGCGCTTGCGCCGCACGGCTCCTCTCAGCCACCCCACCGCCTTGGGAGGTGCTGCAGCCACCGCATCCCCTCCACCTGCCCCCCACGCTCCTCCAAACTCACCACCACCAGCACCAATACCAGAGGCAGCAGCGGCAGCAACGGAAGGGCCTAGAGTGGCTGCTCCTCCTGCGCATTCCTCCAGTAGTAACCATGGATCGACTTCCATCTCTGCTCCATCTGCTGCTGCTGCTGCTGCGGCGGCTGCTGGTGCAGCCGCTGCTGCCGATGCAGCCACTGCAGCTGCTGCAGCAGCTGCTACCGCTGCTGCTGCTGCTGCTGCTGAGGACGTTCCCCCTGATCCTGACCCTACTCCTAATGCTGTTGCTCCTGCTGTTACTGCTGGTCCTGCTGCTGTTGCTCCTACACCTGCTGCTGCGGGTGGTAGTCCTGCTACAAGAGCGGCTGGGAGGCGAAGGCAGGGGCTAGGGCTGTGAGGGGAAGAGAGAGAACGGGTGACGATCAGAGGAGGCAGCGGGAGGTTAGGGTTAGAGCCACGATTCCGACCAGGCGAAAAGGGTACATGTAAGGGCGGAGGAGAGAAGACAGTGGAAGGGATGGGAGTGGCGGCAAAGGTTGTAGGGATCATGGTGGGTTCTAGAGGTGTGCCGTCTGCTGCTGCTGATGCGGCGGCAGCTGCAGCGAGGAGTTGAGGAGAGGGGTTTGGGGGAGCAGCGGAAATGGTAAGGGGTGGAGGCGAGGGGAGGATGGGGAGTGCGGAATGGAGGCGGGACCAGAGAGCTGGGTCGGGGAAGAGAGAGTCGATACCCGCCTGAAAAGAGGGAGAAGAGGAAGACGAGGAAGAAGAGGAAGAACGAAACAAAATAAATAAGAGGTGGAGTGATAGGAAAGGCGGAGGAGGACAGGGAGTACATGGTGCATGGTACATGGTACATGGTACATGGTGCATGGTACATGGTACATGGTACATGGTGCATGGTGCATGGTGCATGGTACATGGTACATGGTACATGGTACATGGTGCATGGTGCATGGTGCATGGTGCATGGTACATGGTACATGGTGCATGGTACATGGTACATGGTACATGGTACATGGTACATGGTGCATGGTGCATGGTACATGGTGCATGGTACATGGTGCATGGTACATGGTGCATGGTACATGGTGCATGGTACATGATACATGGTACATGGTGCATGGTGCATGGTGCATGGTGCATGGTGCATGGTGCATGGTGCATGGTGCATGGTGCATGGTGCATGGTACATGGTACATGGTGCATGGTACATGGTACATGGTACATGGTGCATGGTGCATGGTGCATGGTGCATAGTACATGGTACATGGTACATGGTGCATGGTACATGGTACATGGTACATGGTGCATGGTACATGGTACATGGTACATGGTACATGGCGCTTGGTTCATGGTGCATGGTACATGGACATGGTGCTTGGTGCATGGTACATGATACATCGTGCATGGTGCACGGTGCAGGGTGCACAGTGTTTGCTCACTTGCAACGTTTCCAGCATGTCAGGGTCAAGAGGAGCCACGTCTTTCAGAGGCTTGTGCAACGGGTAGGAGGCGGAGGAGGGAGCGAGAGGGAGCGCGGAAGAGGAGGAGGAGGAGGAGGACTGCAGAGGGGGACGGAGCCAAACAGGCCAGGAGGGAGTGAGCAGGGCATAGAAGATTGATAGAAGGGTTTCGAATAGTAGATTTCCTGATGCCTCTCCCTCCTGCTGCTGCGGCTCCTGCCGCTGCCGCTGCTGCTGCTGCTGCTGCTGAAGATTTACGAAGCTGCCACGACGCTCCTCTCAATCCCACGCTTTTTAAAGCAGCAGCTTTGTTAGTGAGTTGGTGGAGTAAGGGGAAAGTGCCAGACCGGGATAGGGCAAGCAGAGGAGAGATGAGCGGGAGAGATGGGGAAGCGGGGGCAGGGAGGGGGCATTGGACGGCGGAGGAGGCGAGGAGGTGGAGGAGGGTGAGAGTGAGGGAGCGACGCATGTTGCGGGGCAAAGAGGCATCTGCTGATGGTGTGTCTGACCGGGAGTCCCTGTTGGTAGAAAGGAGGAGGGGGGAGGGAGACGGACAGAGAGAGGTGGGGAAGGGATGAGCAGGGGACAGGAGGGGGATAAGGAGCGGAAGGGGTAGCTGAAGGCACACATACATGGTAACATGCCTGCCTGCATGCACCCATGCCCGTCCAGTTCCCCCCACCAACCCCTTTTCATACATACTCACAACACACGCACCTGTCAGCATGTACGATGGGCAGTAACGGGAAGAGGAACTGGAGACGGAGCCAGAAGGCAGAGTGAAGGCTGTGGAGTGAGACAGGGGGCGAGGAGGACACACATGCACCCTCTGCACCCTCATCAGCAGCAGCAGCAGCACCAGCAGCACCAGCAGCACCAGCAGCACCAGCAGCAGCACCACCACCTATGCCACGAGCAGGATTCTCATTCCCTGTGCAGGCAGGTCTCTTACGCAAGCCAGGGTACGCTGCCCCTCCACCAACAACTACAGGAACAGCGGCAGCAGTTCCAGCACCAACACCACCAGCACCTGCAGCAGCAGCAGCAGCAGCAGGAGCAGCAGGAACGGCAGCAGCAGCACTACCACCACTGCCACCACCCCTGCCACCATCCCCCCTTACTCCACCCAAACGCTTCCCAACGCCCCTTCCAGGACCACACATCTTGTGACTCGTCCCGAACAAAGACCCCCCGCCAGGAAGTGCCGAGCCATCGAGTGCGATCGCGGCAAAAGGGTTTACAGCGAGGAAGGTGTGGAGCGAGGAGAATTGCTGTATGATGTCCTGGGCGAACGCGGACCGGGCTTCGTCTGAAGCGCGTGCGAGGCAGGGGAGAACGAGGCGGGCCAAGGCACGCTCTGTGCTGAATGCCACAGGAGGAGATGCGTGGACTAATGATGATGATGCTTGTGGTGAGGAGAGTGATGGGATGCGGCTGTATCTCTTGCTGTATCTGCGGTGAGCTCTTGCTGTTGACGTGCTTGCAGGTGTGTGCCGTACTCCTTTCCCATCATCACCATCACCACCACCACCACCACCACCACCACCACCACCACCACCACCACCACCACCCCTCGCCTCCCCTCTCCTTCGCTTCGCCTTTCTCCCACCCCAGCACTGGCAACAACCACAACACCCTCCAGAAAAATCCGCAGCATCACAGCAACCCCGTCTTAAACAAGACCCACAGCGAGCAACAACACTTGCTGCGCCAGCTTCCACTCTCCCTGCCCCATTCCGTTCCTCCACAGCTACAGCTAACCCCCCTGCCTCCCCACCTCCCACATCATCCGTCTCACAAGCCCAAGAACCAAACGGCCTCCAAAGAGTGTCTGGAAACAGCCAAGGCTGCTGCTTCTCTCCCACCTTCACACTCGGTTTCCCACTCGGTCTCCTGCCGCGCCGCTTCCGCCGCTGCTTCCTCCTGGCCCTCGCCCTGCCGCTGCTCCTGCTAGCAAGGAGGCCTTCTAGTACCGGCGGGACAAGAGAATCCGAGGACGACTGGAGAGACGCAGACAGAGAGTCTGAGTGTGCTGCAGGCCGTTCAGGTGAAGAGTCAGGGAAAGATGCATTTAGTGCGGAGGCAGAGAGTGGGAGAGAAGAGCGTCGGAAGGGGGGCAAACGGGTAGCTTGAGAGCGAAAGAAGGGGTCAGCAGTGGTTGGAGTAGGTGTAAGAGCGGGAAAATCGCTTTCTCTTGGATTGCCCGAGCGCCCGTAACTCCCGAAGCTGTTAGCGTTTCTAAAACTACCGGAACTACCGGAACTTTGGGAAGTATAGCTAGACAGCGAATCACAGTCCGACGAGTGTCCGTCGTCTGAAAAGCAGTAAGATCCTGACCCATCTGATAACTCGCCAGGGAGAAAAAGCTCGTCTGAGTCCTCCGACTCTTCAGAAATCTCTGAGAAATCACCGCCATCAGCAGCAGACTCAGTGTCACTGGCAACTGTTGCGACCATTCCACCCCTTGCACCGGTTGCAATTATTTCGTCGAAAGTCCCAGCTCGTGAATCTCCTGAATCAGACTCGTATTGCATTTCCACGCCAGAATCACTCTCCCTATGCTCGTCTGATGCACTCCCACATGAATCACCCTCCTCACCCTCCTCACCCTCCTCACCCTCCTCACCCTCCTCACCCTCCTCACTCTCCCCACTCTCCCCCGTTTCCGTCTCGCCTTCCTCACTCTCCTCACTCCCACCATTGTCCTCGCTACTCTCTTCACTTTCGCCCTCCAGGGTCCAATCACCCAACCTTCCTAGCTCATCTTCCTCCTCTTCCCCCTCTTCCTCCTCTTCCCCCTCTTCCTCCTCTTCCCCCTCTTCCTCCTCTTTCCACTCTTCCTCCTCTTCCCCCTCCTCCTCCTCTTCCCCCTCCTCCTCCTCCTCTTCGTCCTCCTCAACTTCTTCCTCCTCCTCCTCGCACTTTACCATCAAACTGTCCTCATCATCATCACCACTCTCCTCGTCCTCGTCTTCCTCTTCCCCATCCTCGTCACTCCCGCTTTCACTCTCCTCCCCCTCCACCATATCGCCCTCCTCAGACTCCTCCTCTTCCTCCTCTTCCTCCTCTCCTTCCTTCTCCTTCTCCTCGTCTTCCTGCTTCATCCTCTGTTCCCCCTCGAGGACCCCCTTCTTTTCCTCCTCCTTTTCCACCAGTTCCGCCTCCTTTTTTCGTGCCAACTCCTCCCCACATTCCTCCTCGTCCTCCTCCTCTTCACTCTCCTCTTCACTCTCCTCCTCTTCACTCTCCTCCTCTTCACTCTCCTCCTCCTCACTCTCCTCCTTTCCTTCCTCCACCTCCTCCTCCTCACTCTCCTCCTCTTCACTCTCCTCGTCCTCCTCACTCTCCTCCTCCTCACTTTCCGCATCCTCCACACTCTCCTCCTCCTCCTCCTCGTCCTCCTCCTCCTCCTCCTCCTCCTCACTCTCCTCATCCTCTCCACTCGCCTCCTCTTCACTATCCTCATCCTCTTCTGAATCATCATCCCCCTCTTCGTCCCACTGCAGTCTTCCCCCCTCCTCCTTTACCCCATCCTCCTCCTCCTCTTCCTCCCTCTTTTCCCCCTTCCCACCGCTCTCTACCGAACCTTTCTCTCCTTTCACCTGCCACTCCTCCACACACGTCCCACCATAAACCCTTCCCCCTCCCCCTTTCCAAACTCACCCCCCTCACCCTCACCCCTCGTCCCTTCCTCCTCATCCCCACCTTTCACCTCCCAAACCTCTACCCCCTTCCCTTTCCCCCCCTGATTCACCCCCAACTGCCCTGCCATAACCCCACACATCCACTCCTCCCCGATCATCCATTCCTCTTCCTCCGCATCATCACCAGTCCTATCGCTCTTACCCCCCCCCTCCAGCCAATCTTTTATCTTCCCGCTGCCCTCATCCGTCCGTTCACTCACGCCAGCACCCGTTCCGTCGCCGTACTGCTCCTCTTCCTCCATCCCCTCTGCTTCCATCGCCACTGCAAGTTCGGCATCTAGCAACCCATCATCATCATCCTCCTCGTCTTCCTCTTCCTCTTCATCATCATCACCATCATCACCATCACCATCAACACCATCACCATCCTCCTCCTCCTCCTCCTCTGCTTCCTTTTGCGTCTCCTCCTTCCCCTCGCTGCCCCCCAACTCCTCTCCCTCCTTTCCCACCACCTCACCTCCCCCACTGCCCATTACCCCACCCTCCACCTCCATCTCTCCTTTCATTTGATCCTCAGTCCCAAACCCTGTCGTTACCAACAGGTTATTCTGCCCTTGCCACCTTGCAATATCTCCGCTCCCCTGCTCCTGCATCAAAGCATACCCCATTGCCCATTCACCCTCCCCCACCTCCTCACCTGGTATTCCCTCTTCGCAAGTACCAACCCTGTTCCACAAAAAATCACAATTATTCCCCTCCACTTGCTTGTACCCCCCATTGCTATCATCCTCCTCCTCTTCTTCCTCCTCTTCCTCCTCCTCCTCATCTTCATCCTCCTCATTCCTATTCACCTCCCCTTCCCTTTCTTGCTCCCCCTCTTCTTCTCCCTCACCACCACCACCTTCCAATCTCCCCATCTCCACTCCCTCATTCTCATCCCCCTGTTCCCCTTCCAGACCTTCCCCTCCCCCACCCCACTCTCCCTCTCTCATCTCCACATCCTCCCCTTTAACCTCATCTCCATCCCCCCACTCATTGACCCCTCCGTCCTCTCCTTCGCCCTCACCCTCTCCTCCTCTCATTCCCTCACCCTTTTCCTCCCCATCATCGTCCATCTGCCCTATCCCTCGCCCTTCACCCTCGCCCTCCAAAGTCTCCAGATCCCTTCCCTTCCCTCTTCCTGCTTCCTCTCCCCAAACCCCACCCCTTTCCCAATTGAAAAGACAAGGTTGCAAGAGTATCCTCCATCTCATCTCCCTCACCCACCAACCCTTCAACACTATCGCCAGAGTCAATCTCACTATCCTCCTCATCTGTTTCTCCTTCCTCTCTGCTACCCAACTCTTCATCCTCCTCCTTCTCTTCCTCCTTCCTCCTCCTCTTCCTCCTCCTCTTCCTCCTCCTCTTCCTCCTCCTCTTTCTCCTTTCTCCCCCTCTTCCTCCCCCTCTTCCTCTCCTCCTCCGCCTCCTCCTCCTCCTCCTCCTCCTCCCTCCTCCTCCTCCTCCTCCTCCTCCTCCTCCTCCTCCTCCTCCTCCTCCTCCTCCTCCTCCTCCTCCTCCTCCTCTCCGTCCTCCTCCCCCTCCTCCAACTTCTCCTCTTCTACCTCAACTTTCTCTTTCTCTCCTCCTCATTTTCCTCCTCTTCACTCTCCCCTCCTCCTCCTCCTCCTCCTCCTCCTCCTCCTCCCTCCTCCTCCTCCTCCTCCTCCTCCTCCTCCTCCCTCCTCCTCCTCCTCCTCCTCCTCCTCCTCCTCCTCCTCCTCCGCCTCCTCCTCCTCCTCCTCCTCCTCCTCCTCCTCCTCCGCCTCCTCCTCCTCCTCCTCCCCCTCCTCCCCCTCCTCCTCCTCCTCCTCCTCCTCCTCCGCCTCCTCCTCCTCCGCCTCCTCCTCCTCCTCCTCCTCCTCCTCCCTCCTCCTCCTCCTCCTCCTCCTCCTCCTCCTCCTCCTCCTCCTCCTCCTCCTCCTCCTCCTCTCCCTCCTCCTCCTCCTCCTCCTCCTCCTCCTCCTCCTCCCCTCCTCCTCCTCCTCCTCCTCCTCCGCCTCCTCTCCGTCCTCCTCCCCCTCCTCCAACTTCTCCTCTTCTACCTCAACTCTCTCTTTCTCCTCCTCGCCTTCATCATCTTCCTCCTCATCCTCTTCGTCCTCCTCCTCCCCTTCCTCATCATCCTCCTCATCAACCTCCCCTTCCTCCTCATCCTGCTCCCCTTCCTCATCATCCTCCTCATCAACCTCCCCTTCCTCCTCATCCTCATCATCCTCCTCATCATCCTCCTCCTCCCCTTCTTCCAGAACATCATCATCATCATAAGACTCATCCCATTCCTCACTCGCCTCGTCCTCCACCCCATCCCCATCCCACAGGAACTGCCAAAGTCCAGAGCAGTTTGGGTCTCGTTCTCCAGCTCACTGTCCTCATCGGAATCATAGGAATCATCGGAACCATCGGAAACATCAGAATCATCAGAATTGTTTGAACTGCCCTCACTCCCCTCCCCTTCTCCCTCTCCCTCCTCCTCCTCCCCCCTTCCTCCCCTTCTTCCTCCTCCTCCTCCTCCTCCTCCTCCTCCTCCCTCCTCCTCCTCCTCCTCCGCCTCCTCCTCCTCCTCCTCCTCCTCCTCCTCCTCCTCCTCCTCCCCTCCTCCTCCTCCTCCCCTCCCTTCTCCATCTTCTCCTCCTCTTTTACCTCAACTTTCTCTTTTTTCCTCCTCTTTTTCCTCCTCCTGCTCCTCTTCCACCACCTTCTCACTCTCCTCCTCCTCACTTTCCTCATCCTCCTCACTCTTTTCATCCTCCACACTCTCATCATCCTCCTCACCCTCCTCATCGTCCTCACTCTCCTCCTCCTCCTCACTCTCCTCATCCTCCTCACTCTCCTTATCCTCCTCACTCTCCTCCTCCTCACTCTCCTCATCCTCCTCACCCTCCTCTTCCCCTTCCTCCATCTTCTCTTCCTGTATCACTTCAACTCTTTCTTTCTCCTCCCCCTCCTCCTCGTTTTCCTCCTCCTTCCTCTTCCTCCTGCTCATCCTCCTCATCCCCCTCCTCCTCCTCCTCCTCGTCCTCCTCCTCCTCCTCCTCCTCCTCCTCCTCCTCCCCCTCCTCCTCCTCCTCCTCCTCCTCCTCATCCTCTTCCCCTTCACTTGAATCCAATTCAGCTGTTTCAACACCAGCAGCTCCTCCCCCTTCCCCACCACACTCCATATCTCCTCCCACCTCCCTTCCCCTGCCCTCTCCTTGCATGCCCTCACTCTCACCTCGTCCCTCCTTCAAACCACCACCATCCCCAGCCTCCATTCCCTTCCCACCAACACCATCTGCACCACTTTCAACGCCTTTGCACCCAACGCAATCCCCACCAGCATCGCCCAACCCAAGGGAACACTCTTTCCTAAACCCCTCTAAACCGCCCCCTGCAGCCGCTACTCCTGCACCTTCCACCTCGTTCATCTCAGCATCCGCTGCGCTTTCGCCGCTACCTTTCCCATCGCCTCTCATAGTCCCAACACCCCCTTTTCGATTACCACGCCCAGCTTTCCATGCCTTTGCTCCTCTTCTCTCATCTACTCTGCCTTTCCTCCTGCTTGCGCGTTTCCCCTTAGAGCCTTTTCCCTTGCCTCTTGATCGGCCAGAGAGAGCCCGTTCCGCGAATATCCTCCCTGCTCTGGTACCCCTTTTCGTGTCCTTCTCAGAGTCCTCCTCATCACTCCAGCAAGACTCACACTCTTCCTCGCTCTCGTCACACCACGCACTATCTCCCCAGCCGTCCCACCACTCATCCTCCCTATCCTCCTCCTTTGAACCCTCTTCCTCTTTCACTTGGCCCTTGTTCCCCATATACACGCTCTCTCTTCTCCTTTCACTGCCACTAATCCCTGCCCCCGGCCTCTCTAACCCCACCACTGTCTCTCCAATACAACCAGCAGCCTCGATCCCCCCATTTCCTCCCAGTTTCTCAACATCAATCCCTTTCCTCCAACCACCCTCCTCCAACTCCATCCAGTCTCTTCCACCCTTCTCCTCCTCCCCCGCTCGCTCCACACAAGGGCCAACCATTTCAACATCATACACCTGCTTCATCCCCCTCTCCTCCTTCCCTTCCACCAACACATGGTGCTCCTCAGGCCACACACCATCTCTCCTTATACTCCTTTCTCCACCCACCACTTCACCCATCTCCCCTCCCTCCAACATAAAATCACCAAGGCCCTCCCCATTGCCCAAACCACCTTCATGCCGCTCTTGTAACCCAAAATCATCACCACCTGTCCTCCCCTCCCCGTAACTATAATCACCACCATCATCAGCAGCACCGTCGCCAGCAGCACCACCCAACCCCTCCGCCTCATCCCCCTCCCCATGGTAACTCATCATTCCACCCTCATCACTCTCCCCAAACAACCCCAGCCTGTCCACACTCTCAGGGCTCCTCTGCTCTTCCCTCGACTCTCCATCTCCACTTCTATCCTCCTGAATCTTCACGTCGCCTCCCTCCCCTTCATCTTCCATCTCCATCTCCACTCCCCCAACACAGTTATCCATATGATCTCCAAATCCCTCCTCCACCTGCCCACGCTCCTGCTCCTGCTGTTGCTCGTCCTCTTCAACTCCCTTCTCCTCCTTCCCCCCATCCCCCTCCTCCTCCTCTTCCTCCTCTTCCTCCTCCTCCTCCTCCTCATCCTCCTCCTCCTCCTCCTCCTCGTCCGCACCCTCTTCCTCTTCATCCATCTGCTCCTTCTCCTGCTCCTCCCAGCCCTCCCTTACACTCACCCGGGCACCTAAACTAACCCTACTCTCGCTTTCCATATGCTGCAACGCCTGCGCATCCCCTGTCAGAACATCCTCGTTCTCATCACCCTTAGCTGGTGGCCCTTCTCCCACCCCGTCCTCTGCTCCTCCCCCACCAGAAACAAGCACATCTGCGTCCCCCTCGACACTGCCCGTTCCAATCGTTCCAAATGACCCCACCCCTTTTCTCTCCTCAACCGCTTCCTGCTCCTCATCACCCCTATCACCCTCATCACCCCCATCATCCGCATCACCCCTATCATCCGCATCACCCCTATCACTCCCATCATCCCCATCACTTCCATCCTCCGTATCACTCCCACCCTCTCCAACGGATTCACCATCACCATCATCCCCTCCTTTCGAACCTTCACCCAGACCCCATACCACTCCCTCCCCCTCCCCCTCCCCTTCCACTCCTTTTCCAACCCACTCTGCCTCTCCTTTCCCCCATTCCACATCCATCAAACCGTCCGCCTTCGAAGTCTGCCCTGGGACCTCCTCAGCCCCAACCCCCTCCCCTCCTCTCTCCTCTTCTCCCCTTCCCTCCTCTCTCATCCCCTCCGGAGCTTCCTCTTCCCCAACCTCCTCACGTCCCATCTGCACCTCCTCCTCCACCTCCTCCGCCTCCTCCTCCTCAACCCCTTCCGCCTCTTCTCTCTCCCACGCCGATCCCTCTGCCTCCTCCCCCAGACGCGCGTTTCCCCCATGCGTCCCCCCATCCGCCGCATGCTCTCGCCATGACTCCTCCGTACTTTCCCCACCACTAACATTCTCTCCTCCCTCGCTGAGCGCACCATCCATCCCAGGGTCCACACCAAAAAGTTCCCCTAGAATAACCGCATGCCCATCCCTCTCAATATCATTTCCCTTGCAACCACCTTCCTCCATCCTCTCTTCACTGCCCCCCTCATCTCCTCTGTCGCCTACTGCTTGCTCCTCACCCTGTCCTTGCTCACCTGAACCCCCCTCCACCCATTCCTCTTGTCCCTCCTGCCCCGTTTTCTCCTGCGGCTGCTCCTCCTGCTCCTGCTCCTGCTGCTGCTCCTGCTGCTCCTGCTCCTGCTGCTCCTGCTCCTGCTCCTGCTCCTCCTCCTGCTGCTGCTGTTGCTCTTGCTCTTGCTGTCGATCCCGCACGTCGCCCACCTCCACCTCCTCTTCCTCCTCAATCGCATCCTGCCCCGACGGAGAGCAGGACGAGGAACCAGAGGACGAAGATGAGCTGGACGAACCAGACGAGGAAGAGGCTGATTGAGACGATTTTGCAGGAGACGATTTCGCAGGAGACGACTTCGCAGGAGACCGAGTGGTAGAAGACGATTTCTTTGAGCTTCTTCCTTCCCCTTCCCCCTTCTCCACTTTTCCTTCTCCTTCTTGCTCCTCCTCCTTTTCCCTTTTTGCTTTTACTTTCCGCTCCTCTCCCTCTCCTCCATCCCCTTCTGCCTCCCCTTCCCCTTCCCCGTCCCTTTCCCCTTCTCCATTCTCATCCCTGTCCCGTTTCCCGTCACCACCGTTCTCCCCTGGCGATATGTCACCCTTGCTGCCACGCCCTTCCACTGCCCCCGACGCAGATGACGCTGCAGAGACAGACGCAGACGCAGACACAGTTGCAGATGCAGACGCATGTGCAGACGGAGAGGAAGCGTTTCCCGCTCCTTCCGCCGCTGGTTCCCCAGCCGCTGCTTCTCCTGCTCCTCCTCCTGCTGTTACTTCCCCTGCCGGCCCTCCTCCAGCTTCCGCGGCTGCAGCAGCTGCTGCTGCAGTTGATGAGGATGACGAGGAGGACGAGGAGGATGGGGAATCAGCAGACGAAGCAGCAGAAGTGGGGGAGGACGAAGAAGAACCAGAGGCTGAAGAGGAAGAGGCGGATTGAGAGGAGGACGAGGCTGTGGAAGGCCCAATAACCTCGTTCCCCCCTTCCCCTTGCCAAACCTTCCTCCCTACTTGTGTCCTTGCACTTGTTCTTAGCTCCTCATCCCCTTCCGCAAGCCTGCCTGTTTGTCCCTTGCTTCCCTCCCCCGGTCCATTCTCTGCATCTCCAGCTTCATCTGCCCCCTCAGCGCCATCCCCAATGTTATTCTCCGCCTCACTTTCTGTCGGCTCAGTATCCGCTTCACCATCAGGAAGGCCAAAAGCTCTATCCCCAACAGCACAACCGTTACCGTCCTCGTGCTCAGGAAAAGCAGTACCATTGCCATTACCACCCGTACCCCTCCCTCCATCGTCATCAGTTTCCATCTTCTCTCCACCTCCTCCCTCCCAGCCTTCCAGCCCTCTGCCACGCTTCTGCTCCGCACACCTTTCAACCGCACTGCGTTTCATCTCTATCCCCTCCATCTCCATCCCCCTCTCCCCGTTCCTTTTCCCCAGTTGCTCCCCATCATCCATGTCCCCATCATCTACATCAACCTCCTCCTCCTCCTTCACAGGTAAACCTGCACCTTCTGCCTCTTTCCCAACCGCCAATTCACCTCCCACCCTCGTTTTCTCTGATGCATTTTCCAGCCCTATACTCGCTTCCACACCTGCCTCAGTCTTCAATCCATCCACATCCATCCCCACAACTCCATTCCCTTGTTGCTCCTTTGCCCCCACTACCTTAATCGTCTCCTCCTCCTCCTCCTTGTTTACTCGCTTCACTCCCCCTTGTTCTTCATCCACCTTTGGATCAGACCCTAAATGCAGATTGTTCATCACTCCCTCATCACCCCTCTCACCGTTCCCCACCGCTCCTCCCTCTCTCCCATCTCCTCTCGCCCTGTCTCCCTCATTTCCATCCACCCCTTCGCCTTCTACTGATCCAACCTTCCCCTCTCCGAACCCAGCACCGCTCCTCATCTCCCGCAACCCATTCCCAGACACAAACGCAGTCTTCCTTGCATCCTCACCCATCCCAACAAGCCCTATACCCCGCCCACTCCCACCTTCATCCTCCTTCCTTCCATCACTTCCCACCTTCACAACCGCGTCTCCTCCTCTGCCTCCCTTCCCCTCGCTCCCTGCACCTCCATCTGCAGTCATCCTCCCCACCGCCTGACCCATGGCGTCACTCTCGCATACTCCTTCCTCTCCCTCCCGTGCACCACCCACCACCCCCGTTCCCGCTGCCCCATCCTTATCTGTCTGTGTTTGAACCCCCGGCCCTTCAAGCCCCTCCATCTCTGTACAGGTCACACCACCATGCACTTCCCCATTGACCATTCTTTTCGTACCCCCTTCACCCTCCTCCCCTGCTACCGACTCTCCCAGCTTCACTCCCTTCCTTTCCTTAACAACCCCCTCTTCAAGCGCCTCTGTCGTCCCCCTTTCCCCAGGCAAGGCCTGTGTCGGTGCATCTGATTTAACAGCACCTGAATCAGCTGTTGCTCCTGCTGCTGCCGCTGCTGCGGCTGCGGCTGCTGCTCCTTCCTTGGTTTTTTCCTCTCTTTCAGACATACCCTCCACCTTCCCTGCCAGATCACCAGCAGAAACAGCACCACCAATCCCACCAGAAGGAGCAGGCGCAGCAGCAGCAGCAGCAGCAGCAGCAGCGGCAGTAGCAGTGGCAGCACCAGCCGCAGCAGCAGCCGCAGCAGCAGCCGCAGCAGCTCTTTTTCGTCTGCCCCTTCTCCGGTGTGGGGAGGAGCGACGAAGGATAAATTTGGGGAGGGGGGGTGCAAGAGCGCTGAGATGGTGAGAGATAGGACGTATGGAGGTGACTGTAACAGAACCACTCAGGATGTCGCGAGCCTGATGGGGAGAGAGAGAGGGCCATGGAGAGAGGGCGGAGGAGGGGAATGAGATTAGAAAGGCAAACAGAAGGCGAGAGATGGGGCGGAGACAAGCGCACGAAAAGTCTGATCTGGAGTAAATTATCTGTAGCAACCTCAACTCTTGAACGCAGGACAAGAAGCTAAGCGCAAGATGCATGTGTGAGTGGATGCAAAGGTGTACACAGAGACAACGAGAACAAAACAACAACAAAAACAACAACGAAATGCAAGGAGAGGAGGTACACTGATCAAGTGCCTGACCTGCTTCACCACCCAGTCTTCCAAGTTACGTGTTAACCCCCGCAGTAGCTCCGACAGCAACGCTGCAGCCTCCGGCCTCACAACCACCCGAGACAGCACCGCACCTGCAAAGCCCTTCTCACTCTCCCACACACCATCCTGAGGCACAACATCTCCTGTATCCCACTCCATTCCCGCACCTACTCCTAAACCTCCTGCCCCCGCTGCTCCCCCAACCCCTCCTTGCCCTTGCCCGCCCCGCAAATTCCCGCTGCTCCCACTGTTACCGTCACCGGTAAGGTCTATAATCCCTGTTCCTCTAGCTGCTGCCGCTGAGGCTGCTCCTGCAACGGACGCTGCTTGGCTATGGTGGTGGGAGGCGGAGAGGGGTCGATCTGCAGTGCTGTACAAGGGGCTGAGGCAAAGAGCCGATTGGAAAGCACATGGGAGGGACGCACCCGCTTGCACCCGCTCCTGACACACCTGTGAGGCCGAGGGTGCAGGGTGCACGGAGGGTAAATGAGGGCCGGGGCAAGGCTGGGTGTGGGAGGGTGGTTGGAGTGTTTTGGGTGAAAGAGAGAGGACGAAGGAAAACAAGGCCAGGAGACCAGGCAAGGAGTGTGTGGTAAGGAGAGCACACGAAGACACTGGGGTGTTGGGAAAGAGTGAAGACTGGAACAGAGGTGACTTTTGAGTCGACTCAAAAGTCACCTGGAAAAATGGGGGCCAAGCCGACAGATCCCTGTGAGGATAGTGAAAGGGCATTGCGAGAGACAGTGGTGAGACAAATTCAGTGCTCAAAGGGTCGAAGGAGAGGAGCGCCGCCTACCTGTTCTGCCAGGAGCAGGCGAGAGAGCACTCGATGCACAGGCAGCGTTGCAGGATCCAAGCTTTCCAGCAGAGCCATCAGAAGCACCTGCTGCTCTCCGTTCCTCCACGCATCACCCCTCCAGCCCGGCCCCCTGTTTCCCCTCATAACCTGCTCGCTCCCCTCCGACCCAATCCTGCCCTTGCTGTGCCTGCAGGCTTCCTGATCCTCTTTCTCTGCCCCTTCGCCTTGCACTCTCTTCTCTCCTCGTTCCCCTTGTTCTTGATCAACCCCTCCTCTCCGGGCCCTGTGCCTGTGTGATCTAACTCGGACGCGTGGTGACAGTAGCCGCTGGGACAGTATCGAGAGGAGGAACTGGCGGCACCAGAACGGCACCATTGCCAGCAGAGCTTCATCTGAGCAGGCCCTTGCCCTTGGAGGAATCCACGGGACTCTTCTGCTTTCCCCATCAACCGTTGCTGCTGCCACTCGCAATTCTGCTGCTGCTGTTGACGTTGTAGCAGCAGCAGCAGCAGCAGTAGCAGAACCACCAACAGCGGCAGCACAAGCAGCAGTAGCAGGCTCGCCAAGCCCCAACCCCGCTGCCCCAGAACTGGCCAGACTGGGTGCTGCTTCAGCTGCAGCAGGTGCTGCCACCACTTCAGCATCCTCCCCTGCCCCTGCCCCTGCCCCCGCTGCTGACGCAGCAGCAGCAGCTGCAGCAGCAGCAGCAGTTGCAGTGAGAGTAGCGGCATGCAATGCAGCAGCCATCTTCCTCTCCCTCTCCACCTCCCGCCACACGCATTGGTCCAGAGACTGTATGTCTCGTAGCAGAGCGGAGCGCACAGCAGGGTTCAACACAACATCAATTGCTGCTGCCTCCACATTCGCATCAAAGTCGGCTTGAGCTCCACATTGCACCACTGACCCTCCTCCTGCTGCTGCTGCTGCTGCTGCTGCTGCTGCTGCTGCTGCTGCTGCTGCTGCTGCTGCTGCTGCTGCTGCTGCTGCTGCTGCTGCTGCTGCTGCTGCTGCTGCTGCTGCTGCTGGCCCTGCTTCTCCTGCTGCTGCTTCTGTGCCTGTCCCTGCTCCTGCTTCCGCTCCTGCTTCCGCTCCTGCTTCTGCTTCAGCAACTGGTATACAAGGCATACGGAGAGAGGCACGGGGAAGTAGCAAGCACAAGGAAGGGGAGTGTCTTCTGGGGCATCTGCAGCTGTGAGGAGCTCTGCAGACCCGCTTATTCCCTTGCTTCTGCTGTTGAAGCTGCTGCTGTAGCTGCTGTTGTTGCTGTTGCTGTTGCTGCTGTTGTTGCTGTTGTTGTTGCTGTTGTTGTTGCTGCTGCTGCTGCTCCTGCTGCTGCTGTGGAAACACTAGCTTCTTTTCCAACACATCTTCCTCCACTGCAGTCTCAACATCCATGAATACCCCACCGTCACCCCTCTCCTCACCACCCCCTCCCTCCGCACCACCTACCCGACCTTCTTCCTGCCTCACTACTCCCTTCCCAGCCTCTCCCTCTCCCCTTCCTCTCCCTCTTCCTCCCCTCCTCTCCACCTCCATCTGTGCTGCCCTGTGCGCCGCACGTGCATGCAGCGCAGCAGCAAAGAGGGGATACACAGAGGAGAAGAGGAAGCGGGTGGAGAGGAGAGAGGCTTGCATGCGATGGAGTGCCAGTCTATGCACAGGACCCAGCAAACGGGGCCACCAGGAAAGGTACCCGCACCTGCACACTCTCTCGGATGTGACCGTTTTATCAAACTCCCCCTCGCCAACAACTTCGCCCTCTCCTCCCCCTCTTGGTCCCGCTCCCCTTCCCTCTCTCGTTCCCTCTCCCTCAACCATTTTTTGTGTAGGATCCGTAAAAGTATTGCAACCACTGACAGCAGCAGCAGCAGCCGCAGGTGAGGCAGCAGCAGCAGCAGCCGCTGCAGCAGCAGTCTGATGCTTTTGCTGAAGCATCGACCCGTCTATTCTTGCTGCCTCCACGGCACCACTGGCCCTGCCCCTCCTCCTTCTCCTCCTTCTTCTGCCGCTCTTGCTGGTGTGATCCAAGCAGCACACGCAGCCACAGAAGCTGAGTCACATCACACTGCCACCGCTCCTCCTCCCCTTCCCCCTCATCGTCCTCCTCCTTGACCTCCCCTACCACCCCCTGCTGCCGCCCCGCAACACCCGACCCCCCACTCTCGTGCTCTCTCGCACCCGACCTAGAGCTTCTACGGCCCTGTCTAAGCTTACCTATGGATGACTGTCTAGAGAGAGGGTTAGACACACCCAATCCTGCTGCTGAAGAACTAAGGGAACGATCTGCCCCCCTCGTCCTAATACTGTGGGGTTCTTCCTTGGTGCTTCCAGCATGTCTCAACCGCACTGCACCCCTGGATCCCACCTGAAACTCTGCCTGCTCTTTCGCAACAGCAGTAGCAGCAGCTGGAACACCTGCTGCTTCTGCTGCCTCTGCCGCCCTTGCTGCCCCTGTTACCGCCGTTGCGCCAGCTGCAACTGGAACTGCAACAGCAGGAACAGCAGTAGCAGCAGCAGCAGCAGCAGCAGTGGCTGTGTCTGCAGCAACCTCGTCTACCTCTCGCACCTGGAGCAAATCACTTGGAGAAAGGCATTGCAGCCTGGCCCTTACTGATGGCGCAAGGGTATGAGGCGCACACAGGGAAGCCACGGCACGAGGCAGAGACACCAGCCCATGAACAGTGCCTAGAGCCACGACAGATAATGCCACCCCCAGTTCCACCTCCCCACTCCAGTCCAGCCTGGATAGACCCTCTCCCTCTGCCTCCACCTCCTCCCTTCCCTCCTGCCTCTGCCCTCCCAACTGACCTTCACCCTCTGCACTAAACCCTAACCCTTCTTCTGCTTGCACTGAACGGCCCGTTAGATCATCTGTGTCAGCTTCCCCTTTCACCCAACCTCCACCCTCTCCTCCTTCCACTCCCTCCATCCCTCCGCTCCCGCCCCTTCCTTCCTGCTCCTCCTCAGCCTTCACCCTGCAAGCTGCTTCCGTTACACCGCCGCCCTCACCTGCAGATCTTACTGCTGCTCCTTCCGAAGCCATTCCACTCTGCCCTGCACCCCCTCCGCTCCTCTCACCTGTGACTGCAAGGGAGGACGTACCCTTTCTACCCTGTGCCAGGGGCGGGAGGAGATCAGGCGTTACCGGAGATAACGTCCCAAATGCTCCAGACGTATATGTCCTCCCAGCAGCACCACCACCACCGCCGCCGCCGCCGCCGCCGCCGCCGCCACCAGCAAAGCCAGCAGTGGCAGCAGCAGCAGCAGCAGCAGCAGCAGCAGCAGCAGCAGCAGCAGTGGAAGCAGGCGGGGCAATGGCATGCCTCCTCTGACTCCCACAAGCTGATCGAACAGCCTCGCCTGCCGCATGAATCAGGGCGTTTTCTAGCAGGCGGGCAGATTGCGAGGGGAGAACAGATACCAACAGCTGCAGGCACTGCAAGTGCTCCAGAACCCGCTGCCTTGCACTAGAAGCCACAGAATCGCTGACTCTCTCCCCCCTCTCGCACCTCTCGCACAGCCTCTCCATGCACGTGCTTCTCCTGCCCCTATGACGACAGCCTGCTGCCCCTGCTCCTACCGCCGCATGTGCATCCCCTTCTGTTCCCCTCACTCCCAAACCCTTCTTTGGCCGAAGCTGCTTCCTATCAGCTCTCTCAAAAACTCGCCTGACAGAATCACTAGCCCCTGCAATCACCGCACATGCCAGTGCACTATACAGCTCACTCTCCCTCACTACCTTTCCTCCATACTCCACACACACATCCCGCAAGTCCTTGGTAACCGCTTCTATCACACACCTCCTCCTCGCCTTCCTCACTGCCCAGTCCTCCTCTTCCACAACCTTTCTCTCGCTCCTCCTTCTCCTCCCTGCCATATCACCAGCAGCTTTAGCTTCAGCATCCGCAGCACCAGCAGCAGCAGCACCAGCAGCAGTGCCATAGGTCCCACCCCAACCTTCCTCCCCCTTCACAGCAGTCGGCCTTGCTTGCTCCCAATCCATCCCATCACCATCGCCACGCTTCCCCCACCTATCCTCCCTACTAAAACCACCTGTCTTCTCAACCCTGCCCCGCTCTTCGCCTCCCCGTTTCTCCTCCTCTGCTTCCTCCTCCTCCTCCTCTTTCTCCTCTCCCTCTACCTCTGCCGCCTCCTCCTCCTTATCCTCCAACTGCAATCTCTGCAATACGTCCCGTAAATGACTTTCTAAAGACGCTTCAACTGCACCTGCCTCCCCCCCTCCAAAGCCCCCTTTCCCGCCTACACCCCCACTCTTTCCCAGCCCAGGCCCCGGCACCCCAAACCGCCCTGCATCGCCTCCAACCACTTCCCTCCCCACAACCTCCCTCCAAGCAACCTCCCTCCCGTCCTCCTCAGCCACAGCTCGCTTTCTCGCGGCATCAATGTAAGCCCACAGCTGCGGTTGTGACTGGGCCTTTGCAACAACCTCCCACTCCTTCACTTCAGGCGAAGAAGATGAATAGCGCTGCAATAACCGCGCAATGAAATCCGTTAGGTGGTGCAAATCCCTGTCATCCCCCCCATCCATGACAAACAAGCCCGACTCCTCCCCCTGCTCCTGCGGACCGCCCTCTCCTCCTCGCCCTCCACCCCAACCTGCTGCTGCTCCTCCCATCTGGTGGCTTAAGAAGGAAGCACCATGGGTGGGTACACCTGGGGTGGGGGCTATACCACCTGCAGTTGCAGCAGCAGCCGCAGCAGCAGCAGCAGCAGCAGCCGCAGCGGCAGCAGCAGAGGGAGCGACTTGCTGCACTGCACAGAAGGCTAGAGATTGCCTTGCCTTGAGAAGAAGCAGGGAGAGGAGGGACGGCAATAGGGCCAGGGAGACAAAGACTGACTCGTACCGTTCCAGGCACCCCACTAGCACACAAGACTTCACAACCACACGGCCTCGAATTGGAAAGCTTTCTGAGGCAGGAAGCCCTGTGCACACCCCACCACCAGCAGCAGCACCAGCAGCAGCAGCAGCAGCAGTTGCCTCCTCACCGGTAACACCAGCACCGTTAAACATTCCGCTGCTACCAATTCCGCCCAAAATCCCAGCACCTACTCTTCCTCCTCCTCCTCCTGCTGCTGCTGCTGCTGCTGCTGCTGCTGCTGCTGTGCTCGACCGAGACATACCC